CATTCAATAACCCCACCCTGCACTCAGTGGTTGAGATTGAAAGGAGCTTATAACAGCTCCTATTCTTAGGGAATAATCAATCACTTGCTGAGGATAAAAAGATTGGTAGAACAGGTGGCAGCCCATGAGGCAATCCAACACCCCACTATCTAGAGATCATGGAGATACTTTAGGAAGTTGTTGATTTCTAGGAGGTTGTCCACGATTTTCAGAAAGTCTTAACAGTTATAAATAGCTCACTTGAAGATGGAACAAACCTCATTCAACCAATCAATCAAATCAACATATTACAACGCACAAGCGCTTTTAGCCCTATTTTAACTTAGGAGTAGCTTTAAAAGGCATCTTTGTCATAATTTAGTCCTTGTTCATGGCATTCATGCCAATTAGTTTGTTTTGGCCATCCGTGACATTGTTTTGAGTCCTAAATTATGTTTACAATCTATTTGCGACTCAGTTTTATATTCCTCAAACTTGTTCTTACACTTTTGTATATTCAATTCATTTGAATTTATAAAAGTTGGTGTTTTTTATTTATTTCCGTTTGCCAATCTCTTTTCCTGATTTTTCAAGCTCTTAAGAGATTTTAAATCATCTTTATTGAGGCAAAATAAGAACTAAGAGGTTTTTATCCCTTTAAATCTCACACAATCCCCTATTTTTTCATACACATTTTTATTCACGTAGGTAATATCTTACCTTGACATGCTTGCAATCCACCAAATCTTTATGAATTAGCCAAAGTTTACATTTTTGTGCAAACACTAACCAATTTTTGCATCTTAAGAATATTATCAACACCGTATTTACCTTTCACAAAGGAGGATTGGTTTAGAAAGTGCATTTTTTGACTAAAATAGGAAGTGCCTTTTTGCATCATGAGAATATTGTAATGTCTTTCTAAAAATTGAAATTTTTATTTTTTATATTACTTTTGTTTTTAGTGAATTTTTAATTTTTTTATGTACTTTTATTTTTATTTTTATTTTTTAGATACACTTAAAAAGTATAATATTTGTAATTTTTTTTAAAAAAATTCACCAAATACAAAAAATGCAAAAATTAGTATATTTTCATATTTTGTTGTATTTAATGAATTTTTAAAAATATTTTTGTACAAATTTTTATAGTTTTTACATATATCAAGATTAAGTGGATTTAAAAAATAAAAAAATTTGATTAAAATATTTAAAAAATAACTAAATATGTAAAAATACGAATTAAAAACTCATAAAATTATTTTTAAAAATTTCAAACCAAACAGGGTGTATGTTTAGGAAGTATTTTTTAGTTTATTTTAATATGGAAAAACATGTAAAAAGTAATGTGAATGAAAAGAAAATTTTGATTTTATAAAGTGAATGAGAAAGAAAATTATTTGTTTTTTACATTTTAATTTTTTGAATAATTTTTTAACTAAAATAATTGCTTGTCAAACGGGTTGAGTTAGGAGAGTTTGGTTTGGATTTTTTAAAAATAATTTTTGAGTTTTCAATTATTATTATTATTTTTTGGCTTAGTAATTTTTTTAATATTTTAATATTTTTTTTTGACTTTTTAAACCCACTTGTAAAGTATAAAATTTGTGAAGAAATGTGTAAAAAGATTCACTAAATACTAAAGGATAAAAAAAATTCAGTATTTTTTTTACATTTATTAATTTTTTTAAAATAAAAATATCAAAAATATTTTGAATTGTTAAGTACATCTAGATAGGTGCATATGAAAAAAAAAAAAAAAAAACTAAAATACAAAAAAAATACTAAAAATAACGAAATACAAAAAATTCAAAAATATTTTTGAAAATTCAAAACTAAAAAATCACTGTCAAAGATCAACTCAGCTCGTTTGGGAAAAATGTTAATATGGCAAAAAAAAAAAAAAAATTCTAAATTATCAAATCATTGTCAATATTTTTATATATTTTTCGTTAAAAAAAAATTATTACAAAAATCAATTTTCAAACATCTCTCCATTATCTTTACTTTTTTACGAATTTTTTAAGGAGGATTTAGTAGAAATTCTCTTTCAAGTGCTTCCATCCAAATCAGTCTATAATATATTCTTATGTTCTAATAAGTTTTATTATTTTAGATATTTGATTCATCAAACCTTAATTATTATATTTAAATATTTTATAAATAATTTGATCATTACAAACATTTTGAACATTTAACAATTTTGTGATGTGAACATTCACATTAAATAAATTTGATAGTGTGAATGTTCACGTTAACAGTGTAAATGTTCATATCATGAAACATTCACATTATCAATGTGAACATTAATGTGCACTTTACCTTATTATTGTTAGGAATATTTTAATAATTATATTACCTATAAAACTTATTGAAATATAAGAAAATAATTTAAAATAAATGAAAGATTGGGGTGTTTGGCAAAGGTGTTTTTTTTTGGTTTTTGGGATTAAAATTCACAAAATGACAAAATAAGTTAAAATAGTCAATAAGACAAAATGTCACATCAAACCCATAATTATTTCACTTTTTCTCTCACAAACATCACATACAACTACAAAAAAATCTAACTATCTTTCTGAATATAAAAATTTTAACTTACCAAAATAGTCTACTAAAATAGTAACCTTCTAAACACCCACATAATTAGAAAAAGATAAATTTATGAATAAATGTCATTTTTTTCTATAAAAAATTTAAAAGTTACTCTTTCCGTCCTAAAATATTAGTTCCTTATTCTATTTTTTATTGTCCCAAAATATTAGTTTATTTTCAAAAATTAAGTATAAAAATAATATAAATTTCCTATTTTGCCTTCATTTTAATTTATTAACAATATAAAAAGTACAATTATATCATTAATATTTCTAAAAAATGTAATATCAAAAGATAATTTTAAAAAATTATTTTTTTTAAAACATAATAATTATACTATTAAAAAAAATTAAATTTCCTAAAAAGACTATTATTCTTGAACGACTGGTGTATTTAAAAAGCTAGTTCTTAAACCAATAGGAGTAAAAAAGATGAATAAAATGTGCTTTTTACTTGTAAAAACTTTGGAACACGTGAACATCGAATAGCACGAAAGATCCATCCATTGAGTCATTACTCGAGCGAGATCCATCTCATCATTAAGATAGAATTCCAAGTGATGCTAAAAGTTTTACGTAATCCATCTCATATCGTACGAACAGGATCGAACGACAAGCCGTCACGCAAACAATCTAAAATCCAAATTAATTTGGACTTAAAAGTTAGAAAATTTAAACCGTTCATAATTAATTATGAAATTTATATACACATTATAATTAAGGATTGGTTTGGAGTGGGCATTGATTTTTTGACTTTTTAATTTTTTTAATATGGAGTTAAAATTTTTTGTTTAAGATAGATTTTTAAATTTTTTATTTTACTTTGTGAGAGAACAAATAAAATAATTATGATTGGGTAAATTACATTTACCTCCCCTGAGATTTCTGACAAATACAGGGACCTCCCCTGTAGTTTGAATAATTACAGTAACCTCCCCTGCTTTACCTGACAATATCTAGATTCCCCCCTGCTGTCAAAAATCACTAAACGGTGTTACTTTTTTCTTAGGAATTTACCTTATTGCCCTTCCCTTGAAAATATTAAAAAATGTTTTTGGATTGGAGGATAGGTTTGGAGTGTTTGGAACAGTATTTTTGGATTTGCTTATATTTCCTTATCTCGGTTCTCATTTGTTCAACTCATGGTGTGCTTGGACCGAACCAACGACTCTTCGACCGGTATAACTCCAAAACCGGTATACCTCTAAAGCCGGTATAAATTCAAGAACGATGTACCTTCAAGACCGATCTAACTTCAAGTTGCTTTCGGACCGAAGTAGCTTAACAATTCACGAGCCGAAGTAACTTTATCTCTTTTGGCCGGAGTAACTTTATCTCCCTTGGGCCTGAGTAACTTTTCGACCCTTTTTACTCAGTCCGTCATACTTTGGGCCATAAAGTCCGTCTCATAGCTCGGCCCAATTTTCACTCAAAATTACCCTCTCACATATGTAATTTGATTATACGATTATTTATTTTAAAACTTATTTTTTTTACATGCATTTTCTTCACAACTTATAATATGAGATAAATGATAAAAATTATTCTAATAATATAGATTAATCTCATATTATTTAATAAATTCCATAACAAATTTGAAACTTGCACCATCAACAAGTAACAATTCAAATTATTAAAATAAATATATATTAATCTCATAACATGTGTATATTTTTAACTTTAATAAATTTAAAATGGGTAATATTAGGGATACTATTAAATAAATGAGCAAATATCTTTTATGGATGTGAGATTCACAATTTTAAACCTTACACCATATGAGATATTTGATCATTTATTTAGGGTTTGTTTGGGATGTGAGTTGAATTTTTATTTTTTTGACTTTTTATTTTGATTATTTTAACTTGGGGCTAAAAATTTCGTTTGGGATAGTTTTTTTTTTGAATTTTTTGAGAGAAAAAATAAAATGATTATGAGTTGAATGTGATATTTTATTTTATTGAGTCAAAAAATCTATTTTATCTTTTTGTGACTAAGGGGTTGTTTGAGATGACCTAAATAAGTGTATTTTTTATTTTTTTATGAAAAGATGTGCAGAAAAGTAGAGAGATGATGTGATGGAAAAAAGATAAAAAGTGTGTACTTATTTAGGATAGTCAAACTTGGCCTAAAATAACTAAAAAATTAAAAAATCAGACATATCAAACGAAGGGTTAGGTCTCGTTTGACAAGTGACTTTTTTAATCAAAAAGTCAGAGTCATTAAAAAAATTAAAAAATCAATAACTTATATCCAAAAGTCAATACTTTCATTTTTTTCCTACTTTTTATGCATCGTTTCAAAAAAAATTTAAAATTATTCCAAACATACTCAATTTTTTATATCATATTTTAACTTAAAAAGTTAAAAAATTACTTAAAAAATCAGCTCCAAAGGCGTTAATCGAAAATTTGTGATCTATGGTATTTCCTATCCGAAACTGACGCCAACAGTACTGATCAGCTCATATATCTATATATTATAAGCTATATGTATGTATAGTCGTCAGAGTAGACTACTCTCAGCACAAAGTCAGTGCCTTGTGTAGACGCGACACCCTGTAAACTCTCAATCACGCATATACAGGTATGTGTTTCGATCATCACCAATCCCTCAATTACTATTACTCTCTCTCACTTTCCTTCATTTTCTAGCTGAATTTGTGGATCCGTGAACAGGAAACTTGTTTGTTTGATTGTTAGGGTTTTTGAGGTTTTTTTTTTGGGGGAATTTGTGTTGCAGATCTGTGAATTTTGGGGGTTCTGCCAATTGAGGGTAATGCAGACCAGGTACATGGAGAGGACGAACTCTATGAGTAGAGAGAAGCGGAATTTGGAGGGCGGTGACGATGACCAACCGGAGCGAAAGCGACCGGCTTTGGCTAGGTAAATTCGAGTTTTGTTCGGTCGGTTGTGTTGATTTGGTGTTGTTTTGTTGTGTTTTCTTTGTTAATTTTTGCTGATTGATTAGTTGGGTAGTGAAAACTGTAGTTGTTTTGCATGGATGGTAATTATGTTAATACTTGATTGTATTGCCTCGGTGGAATACAATTATTATGATTCTGTGATGTGCTTAATGATGTTGACTGGTTTTCTCTAATTGCAATCCTGAATTGAATTTTTTTTATAGCTTTGTTGCAATTATTGGTAGGGAGAATACGAGAGTTTCAGATGGGAGGTGAGTTCCTCTTCGCATGTAATAATGAGGAGGAGAATGGGAGGTGTGATGTATGTGGCTTGGTTGTTATGGGAGATGATGCAGCGGTAGTCAATGACAAGGTAGATATGTTGTTCTTGGTGGGTTTAGATGGAGGAATGAGTAAGGAGGCTTGTAAAGAGAAAACAAAAGTCAATGGAAAATATTTTTTATGGTCAACAAAAAACAATTTATTTGAGTAGAAAATGCTTTCCACTTTTAAAAGGCGGAAAATATTTTGCAAACTAAAGTCTTATCTTACCAATATTGCCACACTACCACCGCCACCATCACTTTTGCCGCCATCCCACCACCACTCTACCACCTCCATCTCCTCCTTTGTCTACCACCAAACATAGAAAAATATTTTCTTCAAAAACATTTTATGAAAAAGTTTTTCGTAGAAAATGTTTTATGTTGGGAATATTTTCCACCAAAACAAACGCAGCGTAAGAATGTAGAGTGGAATAAACAATCATTATTTGGAGTTAAGAAGAAAATTAAGAAACCTGTGATGCTTTTGTTGTGCACCTGAATAAAAACTTAATGGGTAAGGTTATGAAAGTTGGGGGTAAGAGATGGAATTTGAAGACTGAAGATGAGAAAGATTCATATGTGGTATTAGCAAGGGAAATGAATGGTATGGATGGGAATGGAGGAAGCTCTATTGATTTTGATTCTACAAGTGGTAGTGTTGGGGGTTCTTCTCTTTTGTCAAGGGAGATGAGGAGGTGGTGCTTGTTGATTGGATGGGTAGCCTTGAGAAGTTGGAGTGGTGAAAGGCGCAATATTTTATGAACTGAAAAATTTGTTGTATTGGGGTTTTATCACAGGATTAGAAATTAAAATATTTGGTAACTAATGATATTCTAGACCAATTAGGATTCTAAATAAAATTCAAATAGCATTACTTTACACGCAAGACTATCCATGGATTATGACTATACTCATGTCCAACAATTATTGAACTTACCATAATGCCCCTAACTACTAATGCCTATAACAATGACCAAAATTGTCCAGTAGTGTACTAAATTAAAACAAGTACAAATAAATACTCAAAATTATTTTGAAACTTCAATCCAGGATGTCTTAAACGCGTTCCATGTGAAATTCTAGATTTGCTCTTGTTCTTCATTCCATGCTTGCCATAAGTTAGCCCCTATGTACTCAATTCATCCTTATTATAGCCTTGTTTGACTGTATTGAAATAAGTTTTGGTTAATTTTTCTAAACAATCATACTGCGAAGCATTTACATCTAAACTTCTTGCATTTTAACACTTTATGTCAGAAAGTTTCTAATGGGGAACGGAAAGACGTTGGATATTATAAATTTTATTTTAATTTGTAGTTTTATTAGAGTAGTATTTTATTTTTGGTAACTTAAATTAGGGCTCCCTATGTTGCTTGTATTATATATGACTTTTATGTAATAGTTTAGTTTAGCTTTGAGAATAATAATATTGAGTTAAGGCTGTGGCCATTTTGGAGATTAGGATTTTGACCCTTCTTCTTCTTTCTCTATTCTTATCCTTCTTAATATTTTTGATTGTATCTTTTGAATCAAATTCTCCATATATTTTGGTTTTGAGATCAATCGAATGGTTGAACGGATTTGTTCATAGCTGTTTGGCATCAATTGGTATCAGCGCCCAACTTCGATCTACTTTTTCTGTTCAATCAGTGTGGTTATCTTCTTCATACAACTTTACCGATTTGAACCAAAAATCATCTTCAATTTCCCTTATCCGATGCGTTTCCGTTCTCCATTGCCTATATATATGACTTCTATGTAATAGTTTAGCTTAGCTTTGAGAATAATATTGAGTTAAGGCTGTGGCCGTTTTTGATATTAGGGTTTTGACCCTTCTTGTTCTTTCTCTATTTTTATGCTTCTAATATTTTTGATTGTATCTTTTGGATCAAATTCTCCATATATTATGGTTTTGAGATCAATTGAATAGTTGAACGGATTTCTTCATAGCCATTCAACACCAGTTTTTTTTTTTTTCCCTTTGTTTTTGTTTTGGAGCCACTAACCTTTTTTTAATTTATTATTATTTTAAGAAATGTCACTATTTTCCCTTTTTATTCCCCATTTTAGAAATTTTTTTGACAAATGGAAGTTGCAACTGGATGATTATATCAAGACCAAACTATATTAAAATCATTATTATGTTTGATTTGTCACATCATTTTGGCTGCTTCAAAAATATCTTTATGATTTTCGCTTATATTTTATCATGCACATCATTTGTGGTGGGTTGTCCAGTCCTTGTCGAATTGTTTGCAGTTGAGTTGCACATGCCATGTTACTAATTCTGAAATCTGTTGGTGTTCATATCTTAAGTATTGTTAACAATTTTTGAAAAGGTTTACAGGGAAACTTGCTTGTACCTGAAAAGGGAAAACCATTATGATTCCGTGGATCTATGTTGGTTAATAGTTTGGAATTGACTATTCATGTAAATTTACTTTCTTTTGTTTTAGCATGCTTTTTCACAACTTAACGCTCTGTTTGAGTTTTTATTTTACATCATACTTTTGCTCCGCAAAGAGAAGAAAGTGCAGTTTTCTAAATTGCACATTTCATGCAGTGTAATTGTGGAAGCTTTGAAGCTGGATAGTCTGCAAAAGCTTTGCTCGTCCTTGGAACCTATCCTTCGAAAAGTTGTAAGATAAATAACTACATGGTTTTGCCCTAGTTAACTGTCTGTTTTTTAAGTCTTTATGGTGACAACCCTTTCCTACGATTGTTTTGTTTGATTAACATGCAAAACTTGATCTGTTCTTATTTTCATATGTTTGTTATATATTTGTATTTTGAATATGTGCTAAGTAACTCCAACTGAAAGAGAGATTATTTCATCTGGTTGTGATATTTTCTTATTTCAAATATCAACTAGATTTATTATAACTAGAGTGCTATTCTGATTCTCACCATTCTTCAACGTGATCTGCATTTACAGTTTTGTATGTTAATTGTGATGTCTGTGTTAGAATTTCTCATTTGAAGCTATAATTGTTCCTTGGTTACAGAACTTTATACATAATGTTCTTATTTGTGTATTTTATTGTTCCTTTCCTTTTTGTCTTTTGGAATGTTTTAGATTCATTCTTCTGTACACTGATTAAAATGCTTGATGAAATTATTGTAGGACATTTACTCTCTAATCAGAATAAAGAGAGAAATGTTTTTCTCAATGCATTATTCTAATTATCCAGTTTTTTTCTATATGCATTTTATTTTTAGATGTTACAATCTTTGAATAGATAAATTTTTAGATATTTGTTAAGTATCGAAATTGTAGATTGTATTCAATAAACTTACAAAAAACAAAATGAAAAAAGAATTGTAGAAGCATATTTTTGAACAAAAACATTGAAATTTGCATGAGGAGTATTTATGAAAGAACTATATAATCTTCTCAAAATAGGATTAAACAGTGATAGTACATTTCAAGAAGTCGTAACATCTGTGGCTACTTTCTGGCTTTGATGTGGCACCATCTCATCTCCTCTTTCTGTTCCTTCCTCATTTTCCCTTTCATTCCTTTTGTATTTCCTTTCTTTTCTTTTTATTTTTAAAAAATCAATTTTGCAGCCTAGTTTTTTGAAATTCACCTCTGATTTCTGTTCAGGTTTTATTTTTCTAGATTTATGTCAGCATATGCTCCTGTGTTTTTGGAGAACTAGAAGGTTCACTACTAGGAATCTATTTGTTGTTTTAGTTGTTACAGTCCTGAACACACAATGGAGTTGGAGCATCGGAACTTCAATGAAAAAATGTGGTATTATTTTGAGATTCTTATTTGAGGATAAAGTCTCAGAAATAATTAGAGAAATCTTGATGGAAAATATCATATTTATTTTAGGATGAGGGCTTCAAGTTAATTAGCAAACCCTTATGTAGTCATTTGCTGAAAAATCACATGATTGGTTATGGAAGACTTTATCAATAAAACCAAGGGAAAAATTCTTATTACCTCCACGTGGTATGGCCCCAAAATACTTCACCCCCTCATGTTAAAAAATAGCCAAATACTCCTTGTGGTTTTGGACTAAATTGGAACACTAACTCTATTGATATTACTTATGAAAAGACATTTGTACCCCTCTTCCTCCTATTATTCTACTCTCTCTCTCTCTTTTTTTTTTTTTTAAAGGCATTTTATATTATTATAGATACCCTCCTCACTGTAATACTTCTTCCTCCCTCTTCAATCACCTCAATAACATCACCCACTAACAAAACAGTACAAAATATATGTACATACACATATACCTATACATCATACCTAAGAAGCGTGGACACTTCTAAGAAGGTGGCGTGTTTGCGTCACACGGACACTCTTTGGACACTTCCTGACACGTTTCTGACACTCATCGAAACATGTCATATTTTTTAATTTTTTTTAAAGACCCGGACACTCTTTGGGTACTTGTAGGATACACATGTTTATTGCTTAAACACACTTGTCTATCGATTAGACACCGGTGAAACTAATTATAAGTTTGAACAAAGTAACTTAAAATACAACAATAAAAGAAAAATCATATAAATTTATAAGAATTAGCCTCATTGTGTTTTGTATTATCTTTGAATGATATATTTATACATATATGATATATAATAAATATATAAAATTATATATTTCATGCATGTCTCTCATGTGTTGTGTCCTGCATTTTTTGAAAATTGGCATGTCGTTGTGTCAGTGTTGTATCTGTCGCGTGTTGTGTGTTGCGTGTCGCGTGTCCGTGTCCGTGTCCATGCTTTTTAGCATTGTACCTATAAAATAATAAGCAAATTTTCACACGTGCATGCGCGCGCATGCACACAAACGTATTATATGCTTACTAGAAATATTAGAATCATCTGAAAATTATCTGAACCCAATGAAAATAGAACATTTCAAACTTTAAAATCCTGCTCGACACTAAGGCCTCGTTTGGTAATAAGTTATTTTAGTAACTTTTTTACTTTTTACGAAAAGATATGTAGAAAAGTAGTGAGACAAGTTATAATGACTTTTTGGTTAAAACATGTAGTTGCCAAACGAGGCCTAAAAGTTTAAAACCAACCCAAAATTCTAAAGCAAACTATGCTTTAGTCCGTACCTAGGCCACAGTGTGACTAATTTCAATCAACGTAATGGAAACATGGTTGTCATTAGGGATAAAGATGTTAGCTAGTCAGTTTGGCTGTTGTTTGCTGCCTTGCAACATTTTAGGACCTCCACGGCCTTTGCAAAACTAACATTATTTTTCCATTTTGTTGCAAACTCGGTATAATTGTGGAAAAATAGCTTTTGTAGGTGATAAAAAGAGTAGGGATAAAATCAAAATTGATGGCATGGATTGGTCATAATTGTGTTGTGACACCCAACATTGCGTTTTGATGACCACCATGCTAATACGTTGATGGATCTTGTATTTTTGACACCAAAATGACCAGAACTTTGAGGTTTCATTAACAAAGGACAAAAATTGAGTTCAAAGTTTTGGCTTTTGATGATTTAATGAATTGCAAGGAATGAGTTTTGGAGATGTGAAATGGGTTGTTGATTGATTTTGTGAGGTGGTTGGGGAGGCAAGAGGGGGTGGGTGAGGGTAAAGGAAGTGGTGGGGGAAGCATGTGAGTGGATAGGGGTTGATGAGGTGTAGGGGGAGGAGAGAGGAGATGGCACGAGGGGGCTGGGTCCTGGGGAGGTTGCAGGCGGTGGCAGAGGTGGTGGGTGGATTAGGGTTAGGGTAAGGGTAGGGTTAGGTTTTAGGGGAAGAAGATGGCTAGGGTTTTTGGAAGAAAATGAAGATTAGGCCATATTTGGTATTTTACATTGTATTTTGACTTTAGCTTAATTTGATTTAATTTTAATTTTAATTTAATGTTTATTCTTGTCAACTCTCAAATTTGGTGTGTGTGGCATCCATTATGTCAATTTTGATGGAAAGTAATGGTAGGGAGGTAAAATGAAAAATGGCCAAAGCCATAGGTGGGCTTTTTGGTTATTTTTAAATGTCAAGCGGGTCAAGTGATCAAAGGCCATACCATGAGGGCGTAAAATGGATTTTTCCTAAAACCAATTAATATATATTTTTGAAAATATTTATAGGTAATTCAATGTAAGAATAGTATGCATACATACCAATAACAACGTTATTTATTGTATGATTTAGTATCGTATTGAAGTTTGTGTGGATCCACTTTCTAATTGCTAATCTCTATGAAATTTGCACTGTTCTGAAAAATATCCAGCACTAGAAGAGATCAGCTGTGAACTATTTCAGATTTTTTAATCATTCTTATTATGGAATATTGTTCGTTAGTGTTATACAAAGAACCTTTTCTTTCCTTTTTCTTTTCTCTTTTCTTGGTAATATTGTCTGCATTGAAGAGAGAAGAGTTAAGTAGACATGAGACAAAAAATTACAAGAGGAAGCATAAAATGTGGAATATGTCCTTTTTGTGATTGACATCCATGAATCCAAACCTTGCTGATAATAACTTGAAAACTGAAATTCCTTGGTAGACACATTTTTGTCATGCTATCTACGGCATCAGCCAACAGATAAGTTCTCTGTTTTAGTTACAGAACATTAGTTCAACTCTATTGGTAATACTTTTGAACACATTTTGTGGGAATGCCTTTCTGTTTCCTTGCAAGTGCATTTCAAGTGAAATTTCTTATCTACATATATTTCTGTTCATGCATGATTATCTTAGCCTTCCCCCAACCGTTTTTCCTAGTTATATTTATAACACTGTGTGCCTTTTACATTGAGCACTGTGCATCTACTTTGATTTTTAACCGTGGCTTATGCTGCAATTGGTGCTAAACAGGTTAGTGAAGAAGTGGAACGCGCTTTGGCGAAGTTAGGCCCTCCTAGAATTAATGGAAGGTCTGGGATATCTTCTGATGATTTATGAAATTGACATATATTCTGTAAACACAATTTATTTCTCAACTAGATTGGTATTTTCTGTTACGATCAATGCTTTTATGTCCTTATTGACATAATTTTTATTGAGATGTCATTATTCATTAGTTGCACTAGGATTGTTAACAAGGGGTTTTCAAGTGAAGATTAGTGAAAATGTGCTGTTTATAGTTTCTTTACTGTCATCACTGAATAACTTAGGCAACCTATATTGGTTTAGACTACAGGTGTTAGAACTTCTACCCATTGGTGGTAGAGAACCCCATAACAACCATTATTAATTGTGTGCATGGGCAGATATATGTTTGAGAGTATGAGAGACACACTGGCCTTTACATCTCAATTGAGCCATCGCTCAATCCTTCAGCTTCTATATAGCACATGAATAATTGATATTGCTATTACCTCCAATGCAGAGGTGGCCTCCGGTTCTGGGCTTGAAGGCCAATTGCGATTGGTTATAAATTCTATACTAATAAAAAAACATATGATAAAAATAATTTGCAAGTTCTTGTACCAGCTAGCAACTTTGCTTGGTGGATTAACCCTAAGCTATGAAGTGTGGACACTCCAAAATCGGTGCCGTGGCGGTTTCCGACACACAGACACGCCGGGGACACGGGGACATGTGTCCCTTTCATTTAATGATTCTTTTGTAGGGGACACGCGTGTCCATATTGGGACACGGCATGGGACACGGCGGGGCTTACTCTTTTTTTATTTTTATTTTTATTTTTATTTTTTTTTCTCCTCCTTTTGCCTCTTTTATTTAGTACTTTTGTGAAGAATATTGTTGGATGTTGAATGTTTTCCCCTTCTCGTCTTAGTTCTTGTTATCGTTTATTATGACTTTTTTGTGAATGGATGCTCTATTAATTTGTTTAAATGTAGTGTTTATATTTATTGAATTAATGTTACTATGTTAGTGTTTGTTAATTTTGATTTAGGATGAATGTAATATGAATCTACATAATACATAAAAATATATATAAAAAAAAAAAAAATTCGCCATGTCCCCCGCCATGTCTGTGTCCATGTCCCCATTTTTTGGAAATTGCCGTGTCCCATGTCGGCGTCCGTGTCCGTGCTTCATAGCTCCCAAGATTAATATTCCCTTTCTTATTTAGTGGTGGTGCTTTGTTTAGTTGTAGTGCAATCATTGGGAGGTTGCCGCTGGGGTTATAGCTGATAGTGAAAACCTTTATCTGTTTTGTTTTGAATTTTTTCAGCCTTGGGACTGCAAGAAACACATTGAACTGGCTACTTCTTTAGAATGTTATGTTTATCTCATATTTATTGCTTCATTGATTATCGCTTGTCCTTGAACTACTGTAAACTCTCTATTTATTTTTATTTTTGTGCCTGTTGCTTATTTCTTCATCCTTACGCTTGAGATTACAGGGCTTCTCCTAAAAGAATTGAGGGGCCAGATGGACGAAACTTGCAGCTGCACTTCAGGTCAAGGTTGTCTCTTCCCCTTTTCACCGGAGGAAAAGTAGAAGGGGAACAGGGTGCTGCAATCCATATTGTTTTACTTGATGTGAATACAGGTCATGTTGTAACCTCTGGACCTGAATCCACCGTAAAGCTTGATGTTGTTGTGCTGGAAGGTGATTTCAACAATGAAGATGATGAGGGTTGGACCGAAGAAGAATTTGAAAGCCATGTTGTGAAAGAGCGTGAAGGAAAGAGACCACTTTTGACTGGGGATCTGCAAGTGACGCTCAAAGAAGGTGTGGGAACCCTGGGAGAGCTTACATTTACTGATAACTCAAGTTGGATAAGGAGCAGGAAGTTCAGGCTTGGCCTGAAGGTCGCCTCAGGCTTTTGTGAGGGCATACGTGTAGGTGAGGCAAAGACAGAAGCTTTCACTGTTAAAGATCACAGAGGGGAATGTAAGCTGCTTAGTGTTTATTTTTGAACTCCTTTTTAAAATTATTTTTTCTGGATTGTCTTTGGAATATTGTTGTTGACTTCTTTTCATTTACAGTATACAAGAAGCACTATCCACCTGCTTTAAATGATGATGTCTGGAGATTGGAGAAGATTGGCAAAGATGGGTCATTCCACAAGAGGCTAAATAAGTCAGGAATATTCACGGTTGAAGACTTTCTTCGACTTGTTGTTAGAGACTCTCAAAAACTACGGACTGTAAGTGCATGCTTGGTTGTTGAATAAGAGTATCCATTCTTTATAATTGTCTGCTGACTCCTCTGTTGGCTGTAGATCCTTGGCAGTGGTATGTCAAATAAGATGTGGGATGCTCTCATAGAACACGCTAAGACTTGTGCCATGAGTGGGAAGCTTTATGTGTATTATGCTGATGATACAAGAAATGTTGGTGTTGTCTTTAACAATATTTATGAGCTAAGTGGCCTTATAACTGGTGAACAATATTTGTCATCTGATTCCCTGTCTGATAGCCAGAAGGTTAGTATGAGACTTTTTTTTTGGCAATGCAATTCTTGTTTCATTAAAACACTTCCTTGAAACCAAATAATAATGCCATGAATTCAGTAGACACTTTACACCCCTCCCTTCCGCTGCCAGCGTTTTTTCACTTTTGGACCGGGTTGGTAAACATGTTGATTGTATATTTGATCAAGTTCTGAGTAAAATACTTATCCTTAAATCTAATCTTTGATTGGAAATGTTAATCACAGGCAGGTATATATGTTTAGGTGTGATTGTGGGTATTTCTTTTCTTCAAACAAACAATTGGAGTGCTTACTATTACTAATTGTTGTTCTTTTTTCCTTTTCTCCGGGTACCACCCCTGGAAGGTTGTCATAAAGCTCATAATTAGAGAATGTGATGCTTATGGAAACCTGTAAATTTTGTTGCTGCAGTTATATGTGGATACCTTGGTGAAGAAAGCATATGATAACTGGAACTATGTTGTTGAATATGATGGCAAGTCACTTTTGAGCTTCAAACAAAGTAAGAGGCCAGGCGCTTCTCGAAATGAACTTCCAATGGGCCCAGGTGATTATCCTACTTCTTTTGAAAATCAGCTTCCCCAACAACGGTTAGCAGGCTCAGTTCCTCCTGAGCAGTCGTCAATGGATTCAGGTCTACTAATTGGAGGTAGGCATGGCCTCTTTTTCTTTCTTTTTGGATTGGTTACGAATTGCTCCCCCCGCCTCCCAAAAGAAAAGGGGAAAAAAGGAAAGAAAACGACTTTTTTCTTAGGCTGTTCATGGGTAGGTGGTAGCAAGCCCATTGGATAAATGGGTCAAACTGTTGTATGGCATTTGAAGCTTAAACAGTTTGGCTGGTTGCACTGAAAAAATCTGAAACCACTTGCTTATTAGTCCGTCTACCCTTGAACCTAAAATCAGTTGTTGAAATCCTCAATTCTCTCTTGTGCGTTTTGCTGTTCCTCTTGAAATGGATACCTCCACAATATTCTCAAATATTTTAATTCTATTATGATGTCAGTAGACTTGTGAAAATGATAATGTTCAATCCAAGAAATTGGAATCCTTGCCATGATTTATATAGGAAGAAAATGTGCTGTATGGACTTCAACAATTTGCTGCTAAATAACCCTTAATTTTCCTCTGCTAAGTAATTAAAACCATATTATGGTGTTGAGGCTTAACTTTAGTCGACAAGTTCTTATGGTGCTGCAACTTTGCTCCAGTCTGGCACTCTTAAAATTTGTCAAACTTTAGAGTTGAAAATCATTTGAAGAATAGGGGCAATCTTGACAACATCCAACTAAAGATAGGAACAAAATTGTTAAAATGTACCAATTAGTACCCACCTGATTTTTTGAGAATTGGTGAACTGGGTAAAGGGAATTAAGTTACTTAAGTTTTGTTAATAACAGTAACGCATTAATTTAATCAAGGGTTCACCCCCCAAAACACGTTTAAGAAATCCTTATTGGTTTTAAGCCAAAAGCATTAGTTTTCACTTGAATTCACCTCTCCATTGGTGAACTGGGTTAAGGGAATTAAGTTACTTAAGTTTTGTTAATAAAAGTAACTCATTAGTATAATCAAGGGTTCGCCCCCCAAAACATTTTTAAGAAATCCTTACTGGTTTTAAGCCAAAAGCATTAGTTTTCACTTGAATTCACCTCTCCATTATTCTGGTTACTTACTAAAGTTGTTAAGGCATTTCTAAATTCAATATTTCTGAAGGGCATATTTGTTTTACCTAAAAACAGTGGTAAAAGCATTTTTGAATAGCTTGTATGTTAAACAGTCTGATTTTATCTTATTAACAGAAAATGTCTCAAAACGGTGTGGAAACAGAATCCTCTCAAATATGAATTTGTTTGGTAAAATACAATTTTTAGGACTACGAAACAGCGCCCAAGGACCAAAACAGTGTATATAACTAATTTTTCAGCAGATGCGGTGTGAATTTTGCAAGATTTCATTTTTGTGGTTCAAAAGGTGTGTTCTTGAAACACAAATATTGCCAAGTTTGTCAAAAACATTTTTTTTCATTTTAGGCATATGAAAGTCCCAATTTTACCATCCATACTTGTAATTTGAAACGGTGACCCATGATGGCTGCATAGGAATAATACTATGAAATCAAATATGCAAGTACCAAGTGTATGCATGCAATCAAGGTTCTGAAAAGCGGTTGCGGTCGCCGTAACGGTGGCGGTAACGCGGTTGCGGGGTGTAAAGGCCGTAGTGTAACGGTTGCGGTAACCGGAACCGTGAATTTTTTTATTTTTCGCACAATTTGAAAAAAACTTACCAATACACATATTTTTTGCCATGATCATATTTATTGGGTTAAAAATAAATATTGATCAATTTTTGTAAATTTTTAAGTATGATCCAATATATTTCATTTTTTTAAATCATTATAAACTGAGTTTTTTACATTTTATTTTAATAATTAATGACTTTATATTATATAAAAAATCAATCACTAACTATTATACTACGAAACAGCGCCCAAGGACCAAAACAGTGTATATAACTAATTTTTCAGCAGATGCGGTGTGAATTTTGCAAGATTTCATTTTTGTGGTTCAAAAGGTGTGTTCTTGAAACACAAATATTGCCAAGTTTGTCAAAAACATTTTTTTTCATTTTAGGCATATGAAAGTCCCAATTTTACCATCCATACTTGTAATTTGAAACGGTGACCCATGATGGCTGCATAGGAATAATACTATGAAATCAAATATGCAAGTACCAAGTGTATGCATGCAATATAACCATATATGCCTATATATTATGATGCAACTTTTTATTTTGAAGACCGCAATTTTTACTTATCAAAGGATTTTATCTCATGCCAAACTTTTTGAAATTTAGGAGTTCACAAAATCAACCAAATTTCACGAGATTATTCCAATACTTCAAAATCAACCAAAATCAATGAAAAACCAAGTTGTTTCAAACCAAGGGTTCCAAAATCAACTATTTGAGTCACAAACTACAAATTGGGTATTGCAACCCCACAAAACGTTGCTAAGCACAAATTTAGGTAACATATACCTGTTTATGGGCTACTAACCCAAAAGGACCAAAATGCAAATTGTGCTCTCTTTTATAAGAGAGAGACACCTCCTGTTTCTGTCAGCGGGTCTTTTATGAAACAAAATCAGCCTGTTTGGTTCCACTTTTTGGAAAAATTTTAGAAAAATTTAGACTTTCTATTTGGTTATCCAAAAAAAAAAAAAAATGCCAAAATTCATTTTTTTTGGAAATAGAAATATTCTATCTTCTTTATGTCTAAGTGCTACTTTTTGATGTGCCTTGTTGTGGTTTGTTATTTATTTATTTATTTATTGTTACTGAATGGTTGGTTGTTGTACGTTAGACCCAAAATCCAAAGCATCCCACTGAGTCATTGTATTTTGGAGGGAATTTTGAATTGTTATTCCAAAATTCAAAAAACTGGAACAACCAAACAATGATCCATTTTCTAAATACACTTTCCAGAACACTTTTCTGAAAATTAACTCAGAAAAGTGAAACCAAACAGGGTGAATTGTTCTGCTACGAATAGTGAAGGACATAAATTGCAGATGCTAACGGTTCCTTGCACAAATCTTCATCTCCTGCAAATGTAGAATGATCTGATGCCCACTCACTTTTTAGTTCACGTAGAAGTTGCATGAATTAAAACTAGAAAATCCAGATTTATATATATGCATCTTATTACATATAATGATATATATATATATGCATGTTCTAGAAGCAATCCTCTTGAGGCATTTTAAAATGGGCTTGTGCTCTCCCATCCCGCTATGCGAATCGGTTACTTAAGTGCTATTTACACAAACAGAACACTCAAAAAATGCTGCTTAGATTCATTTTCTGGACCACAACTTTAAGTCTTTTGTGCACATTTCTGCATTTTGTTTCTGTGCAAGTGCATTATTAAAAGAAAAAATGAGATGCAACAAAATATTGAGAATCTACTCACAGCGGTTAGGATGCTCCCCTGGGTGCATTTTCTACATAGTTAATCCTAGTGTTTGGTATGTTTTTGGGTACCGAGCAGTCTGCCTTTGTGATTTGGTGAATTTTTCTTTTATGGACTCCTCTCTCTGCATGCACACACCAGAATTTTGCTAGTACTCTTATAACGCGGACAGATATTAAGTATATTTTTCCTGTTTTCTGTCTCCAGCTTCAGGTTATAATGACAATCCAGCTGCTAGATACCCAACTCAGTTACAGTTTGTCAATTCTAATTCCCGTGCCCAGTTTGACAGTAATCTGTTTGCTTCGCATGACGCTCAAAGCAGCAATTCTGACCAGATCCAAACTAACAGATATGATAACAGGGTAGGGTTGGCACTTGGCCCTCCGCAATCGTCTACATCATTCCAGACCATCGGCACATCTGTTCAACAGTCGAATCTTAACCCCTTTGATGACTGGTCACACAATCGAGACAAGGGTGTTGTTGACGAATTCTTGTCAGAGGAGGAGATCCGTCTTAGGAGTCACGAGATGCTTGAGAATGAAGATATGCAGCATTTGCTTCGACTATTCAGCATGGGAGGTCATGCCTCTGTTAATGGGCCTGAAGAATGGTTCTCTTTCCCAACATACATGCCATCACCATCACCAAACTTTAGCTTTGACGAGGATCGCGGCCGCTCTGGTAAAGCTGTCGTGGGTTGGCTGAAAATCAAGGCGGCAATGAGATGGGGCTTCTTCATCAGGAAGAAAGCAGCTGAGAGGCGGGCACGGATTGAAGAGTTAGATGACGAATAGGATTTGCCGTGACAATGCAATTTGGTTTCTTTATGCTGAGTAGTTCTTTCAACCGTGTTATCTACGAATCTCACAATCGATGAAACTCTTCATCCATGGAAATTGCTATATTCAGAAGTAATTGAAGACCTGAGGTCTCTGTATCAGTCATGAAGGAATTTCTTCTTGTACAGTTGCTCTCTGTACAGTAAGTTCTTCTCAATCTTTCTTTTGACATTTGGTTTGTTGTGCTATTGTTCAATGCTGGATACTGTTATTCTAGGGCAAACATTACTTGTGAAATTTAGGTATGTTGACTGTAAGATGTGTTCCAATTTAATTATTATTATGAATATGGTGGGTGGTTTTCTTATTTTTATTGTGCTCGGCTTTCATAATCAGGAGTTGGTATTTTTAAGCTCCGTTGTCTGCAATTCTTTCCTAAATTTATAATCATCTTGCTTGTGCATTGGTATTAGCATACCATAATGGGTTCTCAACTAGGTTTAACCGATACCTCAATCAATTCGCTAATTATATTGCTTTACATAATTTTAAAAGCAATTTTATTAGAACACTGTTGTGTTTAACTGCAATTTTCGTTCTTTCTTTATTTGAGGTTGTTTTGGAAGTGTTACATAAGTATATTTTTTGTTTTTTTATAAAAAGATGTGCAGAAAAGTAGAGAAGTGATATGACTTAAAAAGATAAAAGGTTTTAAAAGATAGAAGTGTACTTTTTTTTATTGACAGTTGATTTTATGATTTTAATGTGTTAATTTTTTTGTATTAAATCTCAAATTTAACGGTCTTGCTAGAAGGTCCACCAGTTGTTTCCCAGGAGAATAATGCCCCAGTGGTAGATGGGGCTAAAAATTAGAGATCAATGGGAAGTTTTGGGAAGTTTTCCGCAATTACAGGTAGAAAAATAATAAAAAATAATTATAAAATCATGGAATCCTTACTCTGACAAAATGACAAAATTGCCTTTGTCTCTTTCACTATATATATGCATATATTTCCGAACCACCTTAGCCCCCTTCCTCCACCCACATCAACCACGTCTTCAGCTCGCCCCCACCATTTCCCCACCCTCATCTGCCACTTCTTCCAGTCACCCCCGTCATTTCTCCACCCACTCTGGCACTCCTCTACCCTTCCCCCACCCATTCCAGTCACCCCTACCTCTTTCCCACCCACTTTCACCGCTCCACCCATTTTTGTCGTCCTTGCCCCTCCCCTACCCACCTCTACCATTCCCAGACCATCGCCACCCAACCCAACACCCTAGTTGACCCAAATCCTAACCACCAGAACCACCCAAAACCCTCCAGTTTCCTTCCCTCTGCTACTGTTGAAGGATGCAAGTCTAATATATGCATAGATGCCAGTTGCAAGTGTGCACAACTGTACATGGTTTGCACTTACACCTTACACATTGAACTTGCACCTCTACATATATTGAACTTATCCCTGACAAAATTTGCAGTAGCAGGGAAGAGGAGGTGGAGGATGACAAATTTGTAGATCCATGCATGAGCTATCCTTTCTTTGTCGTATTAACATATTATTGTAATTAAGCTAAACGATTTCAGCTCAGGTATCAGATGGCCATGAAGAATTTGCATTACAGGGTTGTCTAAATCAGTACATAATAAAATTTGTTACACACTGAAAAAAAAGAAAAAGAAAGATTCAATGGACTGTATCAATAATTACAGAGATAGCCAAACCAGAAAACCGAAAAAAAAAAAAAAAAAGAAAGAGAGAAAGAAAGAAAGAAAGAACGAACGAAAGAAAGAAAATTGAAGTGTAGGAATTACAAAAGCAAGTCACAATCAATCAGATGCATCTTCGTTGTGTTGGGTCGATGCAGCAATGACACACTCTGCAGGAATACCTCTTGGGAATTTCTTAGTATCGTTGCAGTAATTGTATATCATGTAGTTCTTTTGCACCCATTTGAGGCTCTCTTTGATTATGAAATCTGATTGTTCTGTGAGCCAATCATCAGCATTATTGCTATTATCTGTGAGCAAATCATCATCTTCATCATCATCGTCAGTGCAAGGCTCGGCATGGAATTTCTTGTAGGAAGCAATGAAAGGAGCTTCAGACCAGTCTGTCTTGACAAGTCCACCTCTTGTTGCCCAGTGCTCTGCATTCCATATGCTTGCATATACTCTCATGGGTTGTTTACTTGCGTATGGAACACCAATTGATTCAAGGTTTTTGAACTCTCTAATGGGTGTTTCATCCACAGACAAGCTGAAAATAGAGCCAACAAGAGTAGGTTAATACAGTGCTATTTGGTGCAACTTGCTGCTTTATAACTTCTTTTTATTTATTAATTTTATTTTAGGAGTATGGGTGAGTATTTAGTATAACTTTTGCTTAAGGCATAAATAACTTAAATAAAATGAAAAAAAATTGTTTGTTCAGAGCACGAGAAAAATGTGTTTTGAGCTTCTCTTTCTGATTATCAACTTATAACTTAAAAAAATCTATACCAAATAGTCCAACTTTATTTAATAATTTTCAGGGTTAATTACACCAAGAACCTTCGACTATTAGCAAATATTAACCTAGCTCCCTCATTTATGTACTTGTACAATTTGATCTATTAAATAATAAAAATATATCATTTCACCCATCTAGACTACCGTATTAGTACGGTTTTCATAATTGAGAATGTCAATATGTCTATTTGCTAATAGTTAAGGGGCCTTCATGTAATTAATTTATAATTTTGGAGAATGATGTGGCATTATTTATGTAACTACCTAGACAAATGACAATTTACAAAACACACAAAGTAATAATGTCTTAACTACATAATAAGAGTGAGTTAGTATTCTCTCAACCGTAAAATTTTTGAATACATAATTAGTTAAAACATCACATAAACAATTCGGAACTACCTAATAATTTTGTGGTGAATACATAATTGTGAACTTTGCCAACAAGATCAATACAATGTATCACCTTTTTTGTTTTTTTATCATTGTTTATGCAACACCACATGCATAACTGGGGCAGTGAGTTTTTTAGTGTGAACATAAATCTTCCATTAAAATTTTCACTATTTGACAAAAGAGATAGAGAGATATGGAGAACAAAAACAAAAGATTAAAATCGAAGGATAATAAAAACTAATAGAGGGGCAAATATAAAATAATTTTTGAAACATAGGGAAAAAATAAAAACTGTGTTAGGAAGCAAAGCTATCATCTATAAATTTTAAATCCATTTTAATTTGTTCCTATTCAAATCACTGCTAATTTTTTCTGCATACCCCTACCGCGAAATTTTAACTTTAATTTGGATAGAATTGTCAAAATGTTATTAAAATTAAAATAATAATAATTGAAATCAAATTAAATAAAATTATATAAATAAAAAAATTAACTCAAATTTAATTTTCCAAAACGTGAGTAGTGGACCAAGCGCCCCCATTCGCCTCTTCATTTTCAAGATATGGCATCTACATAATTTTATTTTTTATAATTTAATCAATTCCAAAAACCAGAGATTATCATTTTGGTGACATAACTTATTAGGACAAATTAAATCGATGGTCTTTACATTTTGTTATTTTTATTATTTTGATTTCTATAATTTTAATTAATTCGATTTTGATATTTAATTTTAAATTTTATATCAATTTAGTCTAATTGATAACGTTGATTAGGGTTTTTGAAAAAAATGATTACTGAATTGATTGAGCTTAACTGATTGAGTTAAATAAATTTACAATTTTGACTATAAAAGTATGACACATATCGCTCATGTGCCTATTTTTTATTAAAAAAAAAATTATCAGTTGTAATCGACTGGACTAAATTGAAACAAAATTATAAATTTATAATCAAAATTGAGCTAATCAAAATTATAAGAATCAAAATAATACAAATATCAAAGTATAAAAACTACTGATTTAATTAATTTATTTATTTTTGTACAAGGTTTTATGAATCAAGAAAGAAAAAGAGGTACTCACATAATGCGCTTTGGGGTCCATATGATGGAATAGGTGTGGAAATCAGCAGTTGGGTCGAACCACAAGTAGAACTGTTGCTCTCTTCCACCTCCACCTCTGGTAAACACATTGGTGTGAAGAACATAAGGCTCACCACTCACATTTCCCAAGAATTCAAAATCAATCTCATCATGCCCTGATCCATGTGATGATAACTACAAAAACAACATTCAAATACTTATATTTATTTATATTGGTCGATATTGTTTGATATAATATTTCAATTTTTGTATAGCATTACTTGAAATATAACTTTGTGTAGAAGGAACTTACATAAAATGAAGTGACAGTGCCAGAAGAGTTTCCGGGGACGAGCTTGAGCTGAACATCAAACTTTCCAAAGAGGTATTCATTTTTGGATTGGGTGGGCTGGGCGGGAATTGAGTTGGGTACTGCTCCTTATTTGGCTTAAGCTTTCCCTTGTCGAGTATTCTGGCTCGACCATCTCCCCACGTAATGTCGAAGTCCCGGTAGAAGTTGCCCGAAGAGGCAGCCAATGAAGAACAAAACAAAACTAGTAGTAATGCTAGCAACATTGGTGTTGCAGCCATGGATGCTGTGAAGTGTTTAACAGCAACAGAGGAAATTTGGTGTTGAAAATGGAGAAATAATGTAAGTTTTTAGAGGAAGATGAAGAAATGCACAAAAAATAAGGAAGGAGAGGGAAATATGGAGTTTTTATTTATTAAATAAAAAAATAATTAAATATAGCTGTGGACAGGTGGTTTGGGATGAATAAAAGTGTGGATCTTTATGTTCGGTGGCCTCTAGTCACGGCACGTTCACGGGCCGTCTTTGACTCGCTAAAGCACGCCCTAATAATAACGGACTGGATATACCCTCACTTTTTAGTTTGAAAAATATTACAATGTGCCCTCTTAATAAAAGGGATACATTGATTCAAAAAAATATATTACAGACACATTTTATTAAATATTTTAGTTTTGATATATTAATATTTTTTGAGATTTTAATTCACATAATACTTAATTTTATTTTTATCAATAGTTTGTTAGTTATATGAATGAAAAGAGTAATATTGTCATTTTTTTACATTTCAATCCATCTAATTGTACTGTAAGGGAGATCAGTGTGATTTTGTCAAAACTACTCTACTTGGTTTGCAAAAATAATCTTTTGGGTTTTCAATCTGTACTTTATTATTTTTAGTGAATTTTTAAAAATATTTTGATTAATTTTTTTTTTGGTTTGTTTTTAGATTCACTTAATCTAAATTATATAGATCTACAAAATAAAAATAAAAATTGATAATTTTTATTTAAAAATTCACTAAAAATAAAAAAAAAATACGAATTGAAAATTAAAAAATTTATTTA